GGGATGTGACTCAGTGGTTGAGGGTCCCTGAGTTCAATCCCTGGTACAAAAAGAAAAGATTGCATAGGGAAAGACTTTCCTGGTCAAATGTTGTTGGTTTGTGAAATACTGGGCTTTAAGTAGGACTTCCCAGAAACATAGTAGTTTAACTCTGTGGGGATATATATGTAGTAATTACAAAGTTACCTGACCCCAGTAGCACATTTTGGGAAATCCTGGTCTGGGGGCTATCATTTGGTCTTGGGAGGCTGATTAGGATTGGCCATTGTAGGGAGGACAAAGTCATATATATTTTCCTTGCCCAGCACAAATTTCAAGGCTGAGACCCCCTATAATATAAACAACAATAGATGAGCAAGAGAAGAGCATAGAAAATTTATTAAACAAAGTTTTAAGTGACACAGGAACCTTCAGAAAATGATGACCCAGAGAACTGGGGAAAGCTGTTTATTTTTATGGATGGTCATGCAGAGGTATGACTGGAGGGCAGAAGGGTAGGATCTGATGGCAATAAGTTGGGAGGCTGGGGGAGTTGGCAAGTCCTGTCCAGATCCCTTGGGCTTCTCCATGTGGCATTCTTCTGGAACCAGTCTGGAAAGAAGGTCTTTGTGACCTACTTTCAGGCAAAGTGAGTCAGGAAATTCTTTTCTGATCAGCTTTCAGGAGTGAAGGGTGGGAGTGGTCAGAGACCTTCCTGCACCAATTCTGTTGGCTTAGGGTAGTCAGTGTGCCCAGGTGCCATAGTTTAAGGTGTCACCTTCTGAGTCCTGAGCCTCAATTCTTTGCTCTACCACTTAGTACTTATATGAACTTGGATAATTAATGTACATTCTCCTAGGATCAGTTTCCTAAAATCTACAGAATGGGATGATTACGGTGCCTACCTGGTAAGGGTTAGAAATTAAACAGGGAAAGCAATTAGCACAGTTCTTTGTCCATGGAAAGTGTTCAGTAATTGGTAGTTATTACTGGTGTTATTATTGTGATGATATCTTTCATCATGATCTTTTTTTTCCCCAGTACTGGGGATTGAACTCAGGGGCACTCAACCACTGAGCCACATCCCCAGCCCTATTT